ATACCCCACTGAGTCAAAAACCTAATTTAGCCTATTCCCGTACTATTTTACCAAAAGACTAACTGTGGCTTCATAAAACCGTCTTGAATGATTTGGGAGAAATGCCTTCATTTACCTACATGATGTGGACACTTCTCAGTTATACCCCAAGCAGGCCCTTCAGTTCCTTGAAAAGTGCGGAGAAAATTGTAAAAGCAGCACCGCTATTCAGTATAAAATAACAATCTTCTAACTCTGTCCTCAGCTCTCCATTAAAAAAAAAATCTCTAAAGGGAGTTCTCAGTGGCAATTCTGAGACACAGAAACCCTCTTAAATAGAAAAATCCACTTTCACAAAGCAATGGGCTGTACTGCTTTATTCTCAGCCTATTAGTAGGGCATTGTGGTAATAAACTGACACGGATTTCCAAGGTAATGTTCTCTTTTGTCCTTAATCAGCCTTTACTCAGACTGAACTCCTGCTGACTTCAATAAGTAAGTGGTTAGACTGAATGAAAACTTAACAAGAAACTCAAATTTTGGCCCTTTATGAGTCATGATTTGGTTATAAACATTTTTAGTGCAAAAACTCTCTCCAGTTCTTTTCAGGGTTCCTTAATGCATACAGATCTGTCCCAAATGTGTTTGTTTTCTTTGTGTAAATCTTGCAAGTTAACATGATCACTCAGTTCCTCTGGTCAGGTGCCTCCACATGTCCATGTTTGCTTTGGCATGTAAACTGTCCATCTCGCCTCCTCAAACTCATGTAAATTTAGTGCTAAATTCTGCCCTTTGTTACAAAAGAGTGCCAGGGGGCCTTTTCTTTTCCCACACCAAAGTTCACTGATATTGCAGCTGGGCTGGATTCCAGCCCAGAACTCTCCTGAGTGGCAGGTTTCAGAGTGGCTAATGAGCCAGTGGACTCACCAATGGTAGCTTGAGAGCATAGCAAAGCACCCACCCCACTGCATGCAAAGGGGTCAAGATTGGGAAGATGTTTTTCCTTGTTCCCATAAATTGCCACCAGTGTCAACAACTCTAAAGATAATTGGTGCTTTTCCTTAAATCCCAGCTCCTGGAGTCATGTGACTGCAAAATAATTTCAGTTTTCATTAAACACACACGAGTATGTCTCTAGTCCTCATAATTGAGCAGAAAAGCTAAAATGCGAGTCACAAAGGTTCAAAATCAGCATACAAAACAAAAACATTTAAAAATGCAGCCAAAAATCATGTTTTTTTTCCAAATGCAATTATTTTGATGACACATGATACTCATTAATTTTGGCTGCTTGGAGCTGCTATTTCCCCCTTGCACAGGCAGAGTACTAGACATACCTATCCCAAGCTGGCTCTACCCTGTGGGACTCACCTGCACCTCACTATACTGGTGAGTAAAGGCAAGAGTTGGCCATTGATTTATACAATAAAAATAAAAAAGCTTTAGATCAGACAGGGTTGAAATTCAGCAGAGTTTAATTTAATTTAACTAGTCCTAGTGGAAATTGTTTATTTTTCATTCATCTGAAAAATTATAACCGTTTCAATCAAGTGCAGTCACTAACAAAGGGGTATTCTGATTTGGGCAGTATGGGTAATTCACATTGGCACCACCCAGAGCCTTGAGCCCTTAACCACAACCAAAGTATGGCCTAGGGCTAGGCCCTAGGGTGCCATGGTGCCTGGCTTTTAAGTGACATAACCAATCCAGATGACTACTGAAGACACTTTGTACCCTACTGTTTAAATCCAGATGTGCTCATTACCTTCTGGGGTCTTTGAATCACCCTCCTTTAGGCAGGAGAGTTTGTAATATCCAAAATTTGCATCCCATTCTCATGTAAGTGTTCCTATGGACAGTCCTGGATTTTGAAGGCTGTCCCAGAGTCCCGGCTGACTGGTGAAAATTGAATCAGAAGTCCTGGAATCGCAAGGGTGTGAGGCACAGTTGGGTGGAGAGGCAGAGCAGCATAGTGCACTAGCCAGGCAGGCGGGCAGGCACCACTGCTCCTGAGCAGAAGCAAAGCGAGCAGACTGGAGCTGTGCCCAGCCCAGCTCCCTGCCCCCAGCAGTGGTGGAGGCAGGAGGAGCCAGGACCGACATATGTGGGTTGGGTGGCACCTGCTTCAGCAGTGTCTGCCTGCCCACCAGCCTGGCACACCACGCCGCTCTGCCTCCCTGCCAGACTGTGCCTCTGCCTGTCTGCCTTTGCCTTCTGCAGCACAGCTGACTTGGGGTGGAGGGGAGGGACAGTGTCCCAGATTTCCTTAAACATAATATGGTCACCCTAGTGATAAAGCTAATTAGCTCTGTAAGTCTCTCTCTTATCTTTAATGGGGTGTGAAGTATTTTGTGATTTTTTTTTTTTGCAAAAGACACTATACAAAAATAACGTATGCCACAAGGGACAAGGAAAGAAGATCCTGCTGACAGCCAGTTTATCTCCCAGCCCTGCCTGGACAAAGCAAACACCAAGTGGGCATGTTTTAAGGAACACTTCCAACAAGTGCTAACATTTTACTTAGAGGGAACCAGTAGCCCTGTGAAGTTTTAATATAGGTTTACCCTTCTCATTAGAAACAAGTGGACTCTGGTTACTCACTTCCCTTCCTAGGTAGTTTCAAAGTAAATACGAATATCATAGCTATCAGTGGGGGCACCCAGCAGGAGGAAGCAAAGGGAAAAACATCCCAACATGCCTGATTCCCAGCAGCCCTCACAAGATTAAAATAAATAAATAAATAAATAAATAAATAAATATATACAATTCTCTCTCTGTCTCTGAACAGGCAGATCCTCAGCTCCAGGAAATTCCCAGTTTACCCACTTACCAGTCCATCTTTAAGGGACAGGCACATGATTTCAAGCAGGTGTGAAAGAGCCAGGAGACAAACAAAAGAGATAAAAGACAGAACAATTCTGAGGAGTGCTCAGGAGGCCACATCTTAAGCATGACACGCCAACCTCTCACAGGCTGAGGCGCTCCACCATTATCTAGTTCACAGATGGACCACCCAGAAAATCTGGGAGCAATTAGGAGGGAGAAAAAACAAATGCATGGGGGGGGAGGGAAGGAGAGATTCCTTACATCATCTCCAAGCAAGCGTTTCGAGAATGAAGTGAATCTATATGAAGGAGGAATGCAGATGAAAGAGTTTGCAGTGAAAATGTAATAAAATAAAGGCAAAGAAAACATGAAGCATACAAAAGAATTATAACATGGCCATTAAATTTACAGAAAACCACGACAGCGTGTAAACATAAATGAGGAAGCTGATCAAGTTCTAAGAGGCACATACATGCACATGTAAAGGGCTTAGCACACTAAATGCCTCTTCATGACTGCTAATGGTATTTCAATCTGCCTTTCCAACCCAGGGATTCATTATGCAAGGAAAATACATTTCCTTTCCTCCCTCTCAGTGTCAATAATAGGCAGTTAATATTGTCAGTAAAAAATGTAAACATCATGAAGCAACATAAACACAACTGCACATACTACACAAATATGAGAACCACCATAACAGCTGGGAGGGAGCAGGGGGGGAAGGGGACTTATGCTAACAGTCCCTAGATGAATGTCTGGAAGCCATGCATTCTCAGGTGACTGTTTCATTTAACTGGACCAACAGTCTGGTAAGTCTCTTGATCATGAGTTCACAGCATTAATGTATGTCTTTACACATATTTTTGCCTGGAGGTCATTTTTGTTAGGTGCCTAATTTTAGACATTCAGGTTTCAGATTTGGCCCAAGTTTATTCTGTAGCACAGATTTTGTGGGTCATATTTGTTGTAAATTACCATAGGTGTAATCTATGTACACTTACAAATAAAAGTATACACTTGCAGCACATAGAAGAAATAGGGCAAAAAACACCTAGTTTCATTAAAAATGACCCCAAACATTTGAGGTTTGATCCATTTATTTTGTACTATTTTTATCTGCAACCTAGTCCCTGAGAAGCAAGATTTGTGCATATGTTTTAACAAACATGTTCAAATTCACACTAACGACAAAAACTTTTTCAGCTTTAGTCATCACAGCAAATTCATTTCTTAGTAACTTGCAACTTAGCAAGCGTTATCTGTAGGGAAAATTAAGTTGAAAATTCACTATCCAGCTTGTCTCGCACCAGCTACAATATGGCAATTAGTTTACCTTAGAGTAGACATCAAAGACTCAAAGGATGACCCTGCCCTACAAGACTGAAATCTTTTTAAAAGCCCCATTCCACTCAGTTTGCTAGTTTATAAGGTTTGCTAAAATCCTGTTTAATGATCATGTAGTTTCTTAGCAGGTCATGTGGTGCCATATTGTTTAAGGAACACAAGAGTTAGTTATAAAACCTTTTTGAACTCGGGGAGCTTTCCGATTTGCTGATGCAGAGCCACATTCTAAGAAGGTAAATGAAACTGTCTGATGCTAAAGCAGCCCTATGATTTTCTTTAGCTCCTTTCACACCAGACAAAGGTTCCCACACAACACATATGCTCCTTCACAATGAAGGATTCAATAACAGCAATACGTTCAAGTCCATATGGTGCAGAAGAAGCAGAATGAGAAGCTGAGAAGCCTGCAATCGTACCCCTGTCAATTACAGGGGAAAGTGAGAGCATGAACGCTCAGGAGGTGGGCCTAGCTGAGCCAGGTATGTGCATGCCATCTTTTCTCTTTTCCATCCCTTCTTTTAAGAGCTGGCTTAACTCTCTTTGCATCCTCAGTCACTTAATTTTCTTCCCCATATGAACATGCAGCTTCAATTTAAAGCAGTCCAGCTCAGTGGCCAAGTGGTAGTGAGAGAAGCCACCAGACAGGAAATTTGAGTTGGACTCTCAAATTTGGCTCAACTCAGGAGAGGTACAGAGGAAAAGATTAATTAAAAAAAAGAAAAGAAAAAGAAAAAAAAAGAGGATGATGGACAAAACTTAGGGGAAACAGAATTAGGTTTGAATGAAAAAAGAAATGGAAGGCAATAGGGTAGAAGGAGTCTGTTCTTTAAATTAGGATGGAATTGTCCCACCTCTTTCCATTACTGTCACGAAGCACAGCTTTCCCCAGCTCTCTGGACTTTGTTTCCAACTCCTGAACCTGTTCCAGCAGCGTTTTATTGTAGGTATGCTTCACCCTGTATCACAAGGAAAAGATTTTAAAAAGTGCATGAAGATTTGTTTAGTTGTAAAAAAACAATTTTCCATCTCTGATAAAGGAGGCACACACAGAGTCTTTGTTTTGGAAACATTTGGGAAAGAGGGTATTGTGAGAGTGCATGAGCATGACAATTAGTCCAAGTTCATAGTATCCGAGTAACGCTACATGAAAAGTGCAGAAATGAAAGCCTACAAATTTAATATAATCTGTGTGCTCTAACAGAACACACTGTCTGTGTTAAAAACTAACCAACTGGCAGAACTGCTGGACTATGGAGACCTGACACCATGGCCATGGGACTGATCAAGACCCGGTCATCCAAACAAAAGAGCAGGGATTCATTGAATATTCATAGAAGTAAAACATGATTCCATTCTGTCCTTTGAGCCATACATTGCAGTGCTCTGAAAGCCTGATGAGAGTCTCTGATAATCGTTGCTATTTAAACCGTCTCATTTTCAGTTATAAATATTTTCAGTTTTGCAGGACTTATGAAGGTGTTTCACTCCCCATCCTTCTTTCAAAAGGACAGTAACAAGCCTGCCTGTATTCTTTTTCCTTAGTTTTGGCAGGCAGAAAGCAATTTATATACCACAGAGATAACTTAGAATTTATACCAGCAAGGCTTATGTCTCTTGAGTCAAGAGACTTGGGCCTTTCAGGTCTCATTTCCCCCACCGTTCCCTGATTTCAGAGGTATTGCTCCTGATTTGCACTGGTGTAAGGGAGGGGAGAATCCAGCACTCTATCCCCCTATTCTCAAAGCAATAAAACAAAATCTAGGGATATATTTCTCAAACAGGCAGTTTTTTAATAGCTTTCTCCTTTGTGCTGCTTAACCGAGGAAAAGGATCCCAGGAGATAATATTGATTTGCATGTAACTGCACAATAAGCTTGGAAGCAAAATGGAGCCAAGTCAACTGAGACACCAGCATAGACTTAATAGAGAGATAAAGTATTTGCTTCTCTGTTTTAAATTGATATGCTCCAATTCCAGAGATGACAAAGACTTCCTATACAGACAGACGTTGTTGAAATTTTCATTCAATAATCTAAAACACAATAGTAATCTGTCTCCATTATGGAGAGGCACCTACTAGAGAACAACTGGTTAGAAATGAAGTGTAGAAGAAGCTGGCAATAAAAGGACATTAGTGTAGTATCCAATGCATACATGTCTTTATACAGACTCAAAGATTATTGTTCTCCCTGTACCAAATACCCTGCCGCTGTATACTTTCAAATAAAAATATACTTGGACAAAAAAACGGGATGAAGCCTATGACTCAGGTGGGAACACAGATGCATCTTGACAGGGAATGAAAACAGAGTAGCAAAAACATTCTAAAAATTGTACTGGTTTCAAGTATGTTACATTACCTAGAACTGCACAAAAATGTAGAGTCAAGTTACAACTACTTAGACTAATGATTAGACTCCGTCTCTTCTTTGAGAACTGAAACTACAGACATTTTTTTAGGAGATAAAGCCTGCCTTAAGTTTTGGGCTATTAACTCTTATAATCTTTCCAACTGACCTTGCTTTCACATTCTTCTTAATTTGAACAAATGCATTAACATTGGGGTTGGTAACCTACAGCTTGTGCACTGGATCTGACCCACAGAACCCCTGGATCTGGCCGGTAGATGTGGGGCTTCAACAACATTTGGTGGCAGGGGGTTTGGCTGTGGATGCTCTCTCTATGCTGGCCTGCTTGCTTCCGCCTAGGGGATGGTCACTCCAGCCCGTAGGAAAACAGATTAAAATGCTGAATTTGAACTCATCTCCTACTTTTAAAAGAGGCCATATCTAATACTGTAGATGCGAGCATTTTTAAATTTGAGGAAATTTTTAAATTTCAAGTTTGGAAGTTAAATTTAAGTTTGGAACTCTTAAAATCCTCCAGAAACTGTTTTTATATAGAAGGAAACATGGAAAAATATAAGTTATCCTATCTCTCCTAAGCCTCCTTGTTCATCTCCAAGCTGCCAAGCAGCATAAGAGATTAAAGAGGTGTTTTTCTTTTCCCTTCCACAGTGAACACTGAATCCAAAATATAAACAGAAGAGAATCTTACAACAGATAGTCCAATTAGTGAGATGCTGTTAAGCAGGTAGTGCACTGAGCTATTTCATCATGTGGATAAATATTGTTGCCATAAAGTCTGGGAATAGTAAAGTTATTTTTAAGCAGTCTGAAAAAAATAGAATGTGTGTGTATTGCACCACAGCTGAATATCCAGAAACTAATGATAAACAGCATGTAATTTTCGTACCACCCAGTAACTTCTCAAGTTGACACAATGGCTTCACTGAAAGAGGCTGTAACTTTGGTAATTAGGGGATGTTTACACTGTGTCCCTGCTGCTGGCAGGGGGTCCCACTCTTGAGCAGGCCCCCCTCTCTTGCTCATATTGCATATACCAAACCCAGAAACATGGTGGGGAAGTTGCTCTGGGGGTACCTCATGGAACTACCCTCAAGCATGCTAGAGCCAGAGGCCCTGAAAGAAGCTCCCTTTCTGGACTTGGTGCACATGAGCTGAGACAGGCTGGTGGTGAGTATTGAGGATAGGTGCCAGAGGCAGTGCCAGGGATGCACATCCAGACATGCACCGAATATCTGTACTAATAATAACTTGTCCATGCGTTTCCCAATGAAGACTGATACATTATGGCACTTTTACTTGCCTAGGGCATGAGCCTACTCCTACTGAATGCAATGGCAAACAGCTGGTGAACTGCAGGGAGGATTAGATACTTTTCATAACACTGTTTCAGAACAGCACACACTAACCTTTGAAACATAAGAAAGGTAAAGTCTCCAGTTGTGCTTTGTATTTTACAATACATCTGAGATATGCGATCACCTCCCACTAAAATTCTCACAAGCAAACTAAGGAGGTACGGGTTGGATGGATGGACTGTAAGGAGGATAGATAACTGACTCGATCATTGGGTCAGAGGGTAGTAGTCAATGGTTCCATGTCTCGTTGGCAGTTGATATCAAATGGAGTATCCCAGGGGTGGGTCCTGGGACCAGTTTAGCTCAATATCTTCATCAATGACCTGGAAGATGGGAAGGAGAGCACCCACAACAAGTTCACAGATGACACCAAGCTGGGGGGATATGCTGAAGGGTAGTGTTAGGATTCAGAGAGACCTCAACAAATTGGAGGATTGGGCCAAAAGAAATCTCATGAGGTTCAACAATGACAAGTGCAAAGTCCTGCACGTAGGACAGAACAATGCCATGCACGGTACAGTCTGGGGGCTGACTGGCTGGGCAGCAACTCTGCAGAAAAGGACCTGGGGGTTACAGTGGACAATACGCTGAATATGAGCCAAAGGTGTGCCCTTGTTGCCAAGGAGGCTAACGGCATACTGGGCTGCAGTAGCAGGAACACTGCAAGCAGAGTGAGGGAAATAATTATTCCCCTCTATTCAGCACTGGGAAGGCTACATCTGGAGAGCTGTGTCCAGTTTTGGGCCCACCACTACAGAAAGGGTGTAGAGAAATTGGACAAAGTCCAGTGGAGGGCAAGAAAAAAGGTTAGGGGGCTGGGACACATGACTTACAGGGAGAGGCGGAGTGAACTGGGCTTATTTAGTCTGGAGAAGAGAAGACTGAGGGGGGATTTAACTGCAGCCTTCAACTACATAAAGGGTAGTTCCAAAGAGGATGGAGCTAGACTGTTCTCAGTGGTGGTAGATGACAGAACAAGGAGCAATGGTCTCAATTTGCAGCAAGGGCAGCTTAGATTAGATATTAGGAAAAACTCTCTTACAAGGAGGGTAGTAAAAGACTGGAGCAGGTTACCTAGAGAGGTGGTGGAATCTCCTTCCTTAGAGGCCCCACATCCAGCTAAACAAAGCCCTGGGCGAGGTGATCTAGTTGGAGCTGGTCCTACTCTGAGCAGGGGACGGACTAGATGACCTCCTGAGGTCCTTTCCAACCCTAACTTTCTATGATTCTAATTATAAAATTCTCCATGTAATCTTATTGGTTAGCTCAGGGCTGGGCAAAATACAGCCAGTGGCCACCAACTGACTGGATCTGGCCCTTGGGCAGGCGCCAACCAACTGATTGCATCTGACCTACAGCTGCTCCCCTGGCACTCTCCATGGGGCTGAGCCCCAACCACTTCTGCCCAGGGCATCTTGTGCCGTATTCCCACCCACTCCTGACCCTAGCCAGTGCACACAGCTTCCTGGCTGATCTGTTCCCAGTGCAGCTGCCCGGGTACTATTTGGCTCCCCTTTCTCTAGCAGCTCCTTCTCCTCTTCCTGCCCCTGCTGCATTGCTCTGGGCAGCAGATAGTTTGGGGAAGTGACAGTGGCTATGGGGATGCATGCTGGGCACCACATATCCAGCCAGGTGGAAGGGCAGGAGGAAAAATGCAGCCAGGTAGCTTCTGCCCCAGTGTGAGGGGCTCCAGCTCCCAGCCAGCTTCTACTCACTCTGCCCACCTGGCATGATGAGCAGTCCCTTGTGGGCAGCCTAAAGGGTGGAAGGTGGCTGAAAGCTGGAACCCCGTGTGTTAGGGCAGGAGCTGTCCACCTGAAGCTTCCCCCCACACCTGGCTAGGCAAATGGTGCCTGGCATGTGTCCCCATGGCCGCTGCCCTTCCCCACTCTACCAGTGCTGCAGGAGCAGGAAGAGGAGCCACTGGAGGTGGGGGGAGCCAAGCAGAGCCTGGGTGGCTGCAGCCGCACCAGAAGCAGCCCCAGGGGAAGCTGTGTGTGCTGGCTGGAGCTGCTGACAGGCGCAGGTAGGAGCATAGAGCAGGACAAAAATTATTTTTTGAAATAAAATTAAAATATGTAATAGTAGATGTTTGATTTTTAGAATATGATTGATTGTTTTATTTATCATTTGTTAGAATGATATCTTCTGAAAGATTTGGTGTGTGGCCCTTGGAAGCTCACCAGAACTCATTAAGTGGCCTGCCAGCCAAAATAACAGCCCACCCCTGGGTTAGCTGGAAGTGGTTCTGCTACAGAATGACATGTTGCCCTTTCTCTTGTACCCTGGCATGATAAAAGCACTGAACAGAAAAGCAGCTAGGCCTCAGCAGCATATTTCAGACCCACAACCATGTGTAGCTGAGGTTGTGGAGTCTGCAAGGTCTCTTGTATACCAGCGGCACCTGGAAGGAGCAGCTTGTGTGCTCCAAAGATTTCATCTGTGTCCAGTGGTTTCATAGCACAGGGAACCTTTTTTACACTTTCTGCACATCACCAACCTCTGAAGAACAGGTAGGCACAATGTGGTCTTTAAGAAGATCTAGGTCCTTTCTGCAATGCAAGGTTTTGTTAGATATTAAGGAAATGTTCCAAAGTCACTGAGTGACAGGAATTGTGAGAGCAGTATCAACCCTTTTGTTCCTTGGCTCCAATTCACTAAAACAAACTTTACTTTGATGACTGCTAATGTACACTCATTGGCCAGATCCTGCAATTCTTGCTACCGTTAAGTAGCAGTTACTTCAGTAATAGATTTCAGTGGGCTACCCACCACAGTAAGTACTATATGTTGTAAAGGTGGCTGAATCAGGACCTTTATAAGTAAGAAACAGAAATCCTGCATATTTTCCTTGGAATCAGGGAATTGGGACCAGAATTAACAATGTGGTTTTGCAGCCAAATACTTAATAATAAGCTTCCCCCTCTTTCTGAAAAGAAAGAAAAATTTTCCACATTTCCTTGATTCAGTAAAAATGTTGCAGGCATAGAGCTACAGGGAACATGGGAGATAAGAGGCATGTTGACAACTGGAGCCTATGTAACAAAGGAAATATAAAACTAGCTCAAACTTGCCAACATTACAAATTTCTATAATGGACACCACGTCCCTGTTTAGATATAAAATGATTTGCACAGGACTGGAAATACACTTTTTCTGGTCCCCTTCAGTGCTCTACCAGATGCAACCTCTACTCTTTGTTTACTCTGTTCTGGCAGTGTTCTGTACTGAAATTAGGCACATGTCTTTTGGGTCACGTGAATGCCCTTTTTGTGGACATATGGTTCATGTCCAAAAAGGATTGAAAGGGATAAATTCCATGACCATGAAAAGCCAGAGCTTCTGGAATTTTATGGCTGACAACGGATTCTGCTGAATTACAAACAGTGACATGTAGCCACTGCAGCAGAAACGTGCCGTCTAGTCTCTCTGCTTTCCAGGGGCCTCAGTTGTAGCTCAAGTTTTGTATGGCAAGATTTTCTGGAAAGGAAACAGACTTGTACTCCCTCCATATGGCAGTGCTGATAGCTGTGTCATTTCATTTATCCTAGTTAAAATATTAATGGTGTTAATTTTACAGTGACGGGTAAAAAAAGTTCTGTTTGAGAGAACACATTTTCTGTTTTGCATTGATCTGAGCCTCCTGTTTATCATCTATTGGCAAAATATCCAGTGAATCAATCAAAAATGTTTGTCGACTGAGATTCCCAATATACACTCTTGGACTGAAACAGTAAAAAGTTTCTGTTGCTGAAATTTCTGTAAAGAAGGAAACTTCTTCAAGCTGAGTCAGTAATAAAGTTTTCAATGACTCACAGGAAGAAGTTACACATGACACTTAACCCATACTAAATCTGTGGAACATTATGCAGTGTTAAAGTCATAACGTGCTCTGAGCTGTTGCACATAAAAGGTGAATACTGTTTCTTGCCTACACAGTTCTGACTTGCTGCTAAGGCTAGGGACAGAAATTACACATAAACCAGTATAGGCGATCAGAAACCGGTTCAAATCTGTTAACAAAGCAGAAGTTTGCTGCACACAAACTGCTGTCCAAATGGCCCAAACTGGTTTAAGATAAACCTGGATGCCCAGCAGGGAGGCATGTTCTAGCACACCCCAGCTTCTGTCCTGGGACAGTGTACACATGTGGCTGCCTCTCCAGAGTCAAAAGTGAATGTCTGTTCACTTTTATCGGTTCAATCTACACAGTTCAGATTAACCTGCAAAGACTGAATTGATTCAACCTTGGGCTTGTTGACTGTGTTCTTAGCCCAGAGGGCTGGCAAACAGGAGTATGGCTAAGAACCACCACTTGGGGCTTTTTTTTTTGTGTGTGTGTAAGCACTATAGCGCTGGGTGCTTTAAAAAGCACCTGGCGCTGCAATGCATGCAGTTGTATAAGTGGCAAAATGCGTGTCAGCATGAAGAAAATGGTGGTGGTGCACTTTTGAACTAAAACACCTCAGAGATGCTTTAGTTCAAAAGTGCACCGCTGCCATTTTCTGCACGCTGACGCGCATTTTACCACTTATACAACTGCACACAGTACAGCACAGTGTGCATCAGCTCGCATGTGAAGAGATTTGATTAATCAAGCTTGGTCCGAAGCTGCAGATCTCCAGCGCGTCATGGGACAGAAAGGTATATGTATAAATGCCCTTGGGCTCTATCCCTGCTCTGGGTATATGTGTGGCAGGGTAGGGAGGGGGACGGGTGCTCCTGGGAGCAGTGCATCCTACTGGAGGACTGCAAATTGCTCATTTATCGCTATGGAGAAGAGTGAAGTTACCTTAACACAAGCTAGGGAGTATGGTCCAGATTTAACCCTTGTCTGAAATGGTGCAATTTTGAGATGCTCAGAGGGTACTTTATATGAGTTAACAAGGTTTAATGTCCCATTTTAAGTGCCCTTAGTATGGTCACGGTGTATTCTATAGATAACTTCACTCATACTTTTTGATGATTTGCTCTAGTTATATCAGGTCTCTCCTACTGGTGTCTAGCCATCCCTGCTGAGCACTAAAAAGAGAAGGCAGTTTGAGGACACAAGTATGGCCTGCACTGAACATCCAGACAAGTTTTTTAAAAATCAGATGTCCCATGATAGACACCTAAATACATATTTACACCCTGCTCCTGCAAACAGCTCCACATGTACTTAATTTTAATCATGAGAACAATTCAATTTACTTTAAAATGAATAAAATGAAGTGATATTTAATTACATAGAGGACAATGACCTTAGGTTTACAAAATAAGTGAACAGATTTGCAAAGGTGAGAATCATGTCTTTTAAGCTTCAGCCCATGTTCAGCCTCAAAATTCTAGCTGTTTTATCATTTTCAACAAAGGGGTGGTCACAAAACTACATCTGACTACTCATATCAGGCTCCAGTGGAAATGGTAGGTGATACTGCCTGTGTGAGGTAACACAGCTCATGAAAAAATTAACCAAAAGAAGGGAAGGGAATTTCTTTAAAAAAAATATTATTGATTTTTGGTAGGCAAATACAACATTTTAAATTCTAATATACTACTGGCTCATGGAAAAACAAATTTACAGCACCTCTATATGTAGACTGATTTATCCTTTTAGGCTGACACCTGAGACAGACAGGTGCTCTGGAGAGATTTTCTTGCTTCCTACTGTATTTAGTTTATCCTTCCGCACTTTCTGCTTTTCTCCCTTAAGAAGAGTTTTTGCTGGCTGGCAAAGAGCTTGACCCAGGGGTTAGAGATTACAGATTATGAGGCTTTCACCTTATGGCTTCATGACAAATCACGTATTAACCTTTCTATCCTCCCACTTCACTCCAGCAAGGATCTGCAACATCAGCCCCATGGCTGGAATGCCCCTGGGCCTTTCCTGTAAAAGGTCATGAAACATGGCAGTACCTTTAGTCTGCAAGATCAGAGCGACAGTTTCTTTACTGCTCTTCTTCATGCAGAGTGGGACTGCTAAAACAGGGCTCAAAATTCCAATCTCTGTTCAGTCCATGAGAATAATTTAATTTAGGCTAAATGTTAAGAATAATATTCCAGACAGTAAGATCTACTGGAAGGCTGTAATAGCCTTCCAAGGGATAGGATGAAATTCATATCATTTGAGACATTTCAAAGTAGACTGGACAAAAAAGCCCAACAATAGTTATAAAAATAGAATAATTTTGCTTTGCAAAGAATATAGGTGAAACTGGTCTCTTTTTTAAGCACAGAGTTCTTTGATTCCATTACTTTTCTCAGTATTTTCAACTCCAGGCATTAAAAAAGGGTTACCCAGACCTGCACTTCATCACTGATCTTTCTTGGGTTAGGAACGGAGTTATGAGGACTTTCATCTAAGTGTTAAGGCACAAGACTACTTTGTACAAAGTATATCCAGGAAGCTTCACTGTGGAGGAAGAGCCCTGAGGGGAACTGTCAAGCAATCTGGTGTTGAGCAAAAGGACTTAAAATGAAATGGCTGGACAGAATAAAATATAGTTATCCAGGAGAAGACTGTTCCTTTGTCTACAAACTAAAGTACTATTACTTTCTAATGCATGCACATATAGTCACACCCAAAAAAGTTTTGGCTCCTTTGGTTATAAGAATGCAACATAAATATTTGTAACAAGAATAGTATTACCCCTAATGAAGTATATGTCCTTCAGATTTCTGGAAACATTTTGGCCAGGTACAGACATTATACTTTTAACTACTATAAGTGATCAGAAACCAGTCTGTACCTGAATGGAATAGTGCAGTGCACAAAACCGGTCTATACCTGTAACAGAGCAGAAGTTTGGCACAGACTGGATTAACAATGGTGGAACCAGGTCTTGCTGGTGGAACCAGCAAAGGGCAAAAGTGTGTTCTGTTTATTACCAATCTAAACTATGTCGCTTACAGAAAACTGCATAACTGAGACTGATTTTGCTTCAGGCTTTTTGAATGTCTGTACCTAGCCTCCATGAATGTCACTGTTACGAATCCTTTTATATTGACTGTGATATTATAGCTGATGAACAACTCACACAACTTTAAGACAGGCACTATAAATACTTCTAAAGGAAGTCACTCAAATTGATTGTTCAGTTGAAGTGTTACTAAGTGATGGACTGAAAGATATTGAACTGAAGGAAACAGAGGTGAAGGAGCATTTCTACAGCAAATACAATTATTTCTATAAGCCTTTAAACTTACGCTCTCCAGGCCACATCTTTAAGAAGGCACGCAGTGGGCACCAGCAATAAACCAAACCAGAAATATCCACATCTGAACACCATCCCTGCCTAGGAAGAAAGGAAAATAAGTGAGGCATGAAGCACCTTCATATCACAGTGAGTAGGTGGTTGCCTGAAAACAACAGGTAGAGCAAGGGATAACATCATTACACAGATCTGATAAGATAAGATCTGATCTAAAGTCTACTGAAGAAAATGGAAGGAATTTCATTGGGTTTTGGATTGGATCTAAAACAAACAAAGAGCCACACCACTTTAAGTTGATATCATTATTTCAAGGTGCTCTAGAAATATATATGTTATAGCTAGATCCTCAGCTGATGTAAACTTGTGAGTCTACATAGCCACACATACAGAGATCCACACATGCCGAGCTATATGATAAACAAATTTAGCATGCACATTTGACCATCCTTCTTGCCCTTTGCCTATTATTCCTCCAGGACTCATTCTAACATTCCAGACCTCTGAGAAGTTTTAAACAGCTGTCATAAAAAAATAATAATCCATCTGGTTCAAAAATCCTTCAGCCTTTGTCCATTTGGATATGAAATTTTATCTCCAAATTACCCTTCCCTGAGACCCAAGATGAGCAAGATCCTGCCTTTAGGATAAGTTTTTCCACATAGAATGTAAAGCTATGACATTTTTCTAACATTTTGTATCCTTGCAGGACTAGAAACAAATTCTTTATGCAGAGGTTCCCAAACTTTTTCTTATTGTGTACCCCCTTCCAGATTTTTAAGCTGCCCATGTACCCCTACTGGCATATGTTTTGTATTTTAACCCTTAAATGCCAATTATTATTATTATGAAAATTAAATCTGCCATTACACAATTTCTCTCACATACCCCCTAGAGATTTCTTGCATACCCCCAGGGGTACATATACCACATTTTGGGAACCTTTGCTTTATAGTATTAAAGAGGTAAGAGTCCCAGAATCCCAAAGATCTCAAACATGTTTCTAGCTTTTGAAGCGTGCTTGGTAAAATTACTGAAATTAAGGACAGCATTATTTATAAAACAGATATTTTAGGTCATTAGACTTTTTTGTGGCTCCCTTTGGAGCTCTGTATGTTTAGGGCTAATGGTAACAAAAGACCATGAATTCAAAAGTGGACAGATACCAAAGGAAACAACAACTAACCCTGCAAGACAGGAAAAAAAATCCCCTTAAGAAATCTTTGATCAATTTGTTTTTCTGTGAATGTGTCTTCAATAAAAGAGGGCTAAGGTGTTGCAGTTTAGTTTTTAGGGTAAATGTGCACCTATGGGCAGTTATCACAAAGCTGCTGATAAACAGTAATTGCCCTTCTCCCTATTTTACCTCACAGTAAACAGCCTATCTGTTCAAACCATATGAATGTGACGTACATGTGGGATGCAGTGCAAGAGTTTGATTAATACTTCTTTGGGATGAACCACATAACTCATCTGCTCTGCTGCTAGTCACAGATAATAATCTTGCTACACATTAATTCCCATAAACCTTCCATGTCATCTTGTATTCCATTTAAAATACACAGATACTTACTTATGCATAATCATTTCTCAGAGTCTGGAAAGCACCTATCTGAGAAGAATGTATATACACAGGTGCACCAAAATTAACAGTTTGACTCACCAGTTAAACACAGGTATATTTGTTTTAACAGTACAACACCACCAATCATCAAGCAAGGAAAGGAGAATATCAAGTTTTATTGAAAATTCAAGGGATTTAGGTAGAAGTAGAGGGTGAATTTAGCTCTGTATGGAATGTGAAAAGAAAATACATTTTGGGATTTTGGACTTACGATAGGTGATTATAATTATACCCAGTGGTCAGGATCTCATTCTTTACAAGTTAAAAAGTCAGCTCTCACACCATGTCAAAGCACTGGCTCTATACTAATTCTCTCTCCCTCTTTTGTATGACATTTCAGGATTACAACATTCGTATAACATTCATAGATTAATATCTAAATTTGATAGCCATCTGACTGCTTCAGGGGTAGCTGCATGGATTGATTTTAGATTGCTATTAAATGATCTAATTGGGCAACTGGTCATAATGTGTTGTATCATCTAAAAAAACCAACACACCACAATCGCAACCCAGACTCCCTTTGATTCTCTATTTATGGAGTAGGTGTCCACATTTTCCATGAAGTGTCGAATGCGATTCAGGGAGGACCAAATCTTTCTCAGTAGGTCAATTCCTGGCTGGGGGATTGTAGGGTTGCTAATGATGCATTTCTGTGCAGGTTGGTATTTGCCCAGACTTCCCTCCATTGTTCTTCGATGTTCTTGTTATTATCATAGAGCTTTTTGGCATATTTCTAGAAGGGTTTTCTAGATTTGAGGCTATCAGTTGTGGCGTAGTGATACCCTTGTTGATTGGGAGGTTTGGGTTACTGATGGCCTTATGGTATTCCCTTCACTGTGCCCTTTATCTCCGCCTTATCTGCTTGTTTTTAGCCCCTCATACAGTCAGTTGCATGCCTACTTCCTACAGTCCTCTCTTCTCAGTTCAAGCTCCTCGAGAGCACAGGGAAGGCCCTCTTCCTTGCCCATGTTTAAGGTCCTCCTAAACATGTACTTCTTTCATATTCTTCCTGTGAATCAAGCTGGCTTGGAAATACATCACCAATTGCTATGCCTCTTCCCTTCATCTCTGTTCATTCTCATCTCCTTGCAGGGTTATAATATTTGTTCTACATCTATTAGCTCCTTAGAGCAGGGTTGATTTTTTTCCTGAAGGTTTGGAAATGACCTAATACAGGGGTGTCACACTCATCCTACTCTTCTGGCTGGCTTCAGACAGCAGGGCTCTTCACAGGCTGGATTCAGATGCAATGAGCAGGGTAAGTGGCGGTGGAAGCAGAAGCGCAAACAGCAGTGGGGCAAGCAGCGCTGTCATTTACCTGCTGCTGCCAAAGACTATTGCCAATGGGGCATAATAGTCCTGAATTCTGTGGTAAGTCCTGCCTTCTGCTTACCCTACTCTCAAACCCCCAGCCCCTCTGGGAGCCCCTATAGGAAACCTGTAGATCCAGAAGTCCTGGTACCTCAGGTTGGCTGCTAACATTCTTCATAAGTGCTAGTGCATTCCTTTATTAAAGCAGAGATCAAAAGCACACCATGAGCATGGGCTGAGCAAAAGGCTAGCCTGACGATCTGTTCTATACCATGTCTTAATCCAACTATTTTAAAACAGATTCATCTAAGATATGTTCTACCTGAACAGCTTCAGCTGCAACAAACAATAAACTACAAGCTATTTTCCCTGCCGTATGTCTTTATTATGAAAATAAGGATCATTTGCAATTCTATGGTTTCACCAACAGGTGGAGCCAGAAATTTCAACAATTCCTTGAAATAGTAAAAAAACCCTAGACAAAATTCTCAGATGTGGAAACGGGGACTTTCCCAGTCACTATATTGGTGTTAATATCACCACAGTCTGGTTGGCCAACAGTTAAGGATAGTGAATAGTTTAACACGGATAGGCTTGGTAGGATTCAATTGTTTATCAATGGACATTGATAAACATGGAGTTAATCTGACACACACAGGCTGATGGAAAAATATTTCCATTGATAATCATCGAAATTTACATAAAGGAGATGTAAAAAAGAAAAAAAAATCTGGGATGGGTGTAAAGAAATCTGTGGTAGGGGGTGCTTCACGCAGGGGCCGGGCCAGACTCCACAGAAACCTGGGCAGAATAAGGGGCTGGTGGCACTGGGCTCCCGGCTGTTACCAGTCCTGCCCCTCCAACCCCTTCTCCCAGCACAACCTTACTAGCATGACCCTCAGCTCCTGCAGTGGCCACAGTGCATGTGCACCAAACTTCAGTGGAGCTCTGCAGTGCTTTTCTGAACTCCAGGAAATACTGCTTTGTTGATGAAGTTGGCTACTGTCTGCTTGCATAAAGGTATACTTTATTGATTTATGGATATTTACTTTTTATGGTACTAAATTGTCTGTCCCCACACCCCCAATTTTGTGCCATCCTGAAAATTTAAATTGATAAAAATAGAAAAATAGTCCAAATTTTGTGCAATCTCAAAAATGTAAATCAATACAAAATGAAAAAAGCCCTAGCCCTGCACAATCTCAAGAATTTCAATAGTCAAAAATTGAAATAAATGCTAAAAAAGAACCATTGATTTTAGCCCCTGAAATAAATAAATAAATAAGTCGCATTCTGCCAAGTTTAAACATAGATAAAGCAAAGATACGAACCTTTGCACATTGTTGAAGACAAACCCAACATACACTTTGATATGTTTAAAAAAAGATCCTTTTACTTTACTTTGTCTTCACTGACTTATATGGCATGAAATGACAAAAAAAAACATATGAAAGAGGCTGCTTCTGCTGTATTTGCAGCATGAGCAGAAAAAAATGGAGCAGGAACTTCCCTAGATTTTAAGTTAAATTATAATCTTTAAGAAGTTTAGATAATACTCAGATAAATTGCTGACTAATGGTGTTTTACCCAATCAACTGCTACTCTAAGATTCTGGAGACCCACGTTTTCTGCTCTGCTATGAACTCAACTGATAGTGTAACTTCAGGCAGGCCACTTAACCTTGCTGTGTCTCAGTTCCCCATCTGTAACATGGGATATTGATACTCCTTTACTTCACAAGGATGCCAGTGTTAAGGTCCTTTGATTACGAGGGACCTTATAAACATACACAATTAAACTGCCATGAGTTTTTGAGCTAGGGACAGACATTCAAAAAGCCCAAGCCTGAATTGATTCAATCTCTGTAGGTTAATCTAACCTGGCTAGGCCGAACTGGCTTGTAACTGCACAGACATCCCAGACATGCAGGCACATGCCTGCAGTGGCTCAGGCTAGAAGCTGGGGTGGGGGCGCTAGAGCAACCTTCCCTTCCTTCCACAGCACTGAGCTGGGGGGGTGGGAACAGCATGGCCAAGCCCTGGCAGGACACTGATTAGCCCAGCAGGGAATTGATAACAGTGTTTATCACCCCATTAAGAAAACAATAGAGGGACATTACCATCTGTCAGTTGATTCAGCAGGAACC